AAAGTGAGCAGAGAGGAGGGGCGGCAGAGGCTGGTCGTCTGAGCTTAGGCCGGTCAGGAGAGCGTAAACTCCGGACTCCTTCAGACGGCTCAGCGAGGGGCCAAGAGTGCCATCCATCCATCCATCCTTCCTCCTGATCAGAAGATCCAGGGCGCCCGGCATGGAAATCCAATAAAGGAGTTTTGTGTTAACAATAGCAAATTCCTCCAGCATCTGAGTTTTCTATGTGACCGCCTTGTGTGCCAACATGAAAGGTAAGCCAATGGGTGGGTGGCTCTTTCAGAAAGTACGTCTTGGAAATTGCTGGGCGGCTGTGAAAGAGCGGGAGTCTTGTCAGCGGTGGATGTGGGCTTATTGTGGAAGCAAATATTTTTGCAAGAGGGCTTGTGCTTTGTGTGTGTTGTGTGTAAGAGAAACTGAAGCGGTGTTGGATCGCTAGTCATTTAAGGATGAAAGCTGCCATTTCTTCTTCAGGAAAAGCCCAAGTTCAGCTTCTTGTAAGTTGTTTATAGACCCCTCTTTTTGGATTTTTTTTTTTTAATTGAAAAACTCTGTCCAAGAGCGCAAAGTGTTCACTCGCACAATTTCTGCTTTCTCTAGCACATATTTCTTGGCCACTTATCTTAAAAAAAAAGTTTTAAAACTTGCCTCTGCAGTTTTTTGAGAGACCAGTGGGGGGTTGCCAGCATTTCGTGATGTTCTTCTAGACATCTGGCAGTGATTAGATTCCAGTAGAGGCTTAACTGCCTTATGAAATATATTTGGCATTTTCTCCCTCAAGATCTATAGACTGGAAAAATATTTGGCCTTTGCTGTGCATTGCATATGCTAAAAGCTGGAGTTTACAACCCGACTGCCCCCACCAGCTTTTGAATCACACGTTAAGGGAAAACCTTTCAGATCCCACTGCTTGTGTCATTTAACTTTGCAAATGAATCTTCTCTTTGGCACATTTTGGAGCTTAATAAAAAAAGATATGTTACAATGTACACCTTATTAATGAAAGTAAAAATACTCCAAGTAATCTGCAGAGTAAGTACAAATCTCTGTACACTGTGGCATTAAATGTTTTCAAATGTGTAGGAAATAGTTCTGAGCTTTCAAGTGTAGATTTTCAGAAATAATCTTAGTAACTATGTGGATAAACACGGATATGTATGGATATGCAAGAAACTGACAAAATACTAGCATGCTGTTTGAAGTGTGGTATGGGGCTGTTGTGCCAAGAAGGCAG